CAACGCAATTTAGTGAGTAGCTGCGATATATTGAGTCTATTTAGTTACTTCTTCGTATCCAAGGTCTACATGTCCAGTAGTATGATGCTTGCGTTGTATTGTAACAGTTCGGTACCTGAATGCACACTGTTGAAGAGTCCAAAATAGGACAAAAATGCCGTCCACTTTTTTCTGTTGAAGATTTTTTATTATTTTTATTAAAGTTTGGTTTCAATTTTTTTATGTAGATAGTTTCCATTTTTTTAGTTTATTCTTATTATTTTCATGAACAAGTATAGATGTATTTTCAACAAGAATTTTCTGAATTGCGAATGACGACAGTAATGCTGTTTTAAATGTTTAGAAATTTTGAACATATTTTTCAAATGATGGACACTACAATATTTGTCTTGAAATAAAAACCCTGATAATTTATATATATATATATATATAACCTGTATATATATATATATATATATATATATATATATATATATATAGATAGATAGATAGATAGATACATAGATAGATACATAGATAGATGGATAGAAGTTTTAAAATAAGATATAGAAATCTCAACAGAGTTTTTAAATTTTAACAAATGGAAACTTTTCATGAAAAAAATTTGATTGAAAATCGATCTGATACTTGATTTCGCCATTGCAGACATTATTAGGACTGAACACAAAAGAACGATGTGTCTATATATATTTGTGAGTATGCTTAAATAATGAATCTTACTAATTTCTCTGTCGTTTCTTGTAATTAAAGAAGAAAGAAAATAAGTGACTTATCCAAAAGTCCTTCATATTTATTCTAGTATCTTTTCTTTACAATTCTTTGTTCTAATCGAAAGTTGTTAATGTATTTTCCCACATTTCTTTTTAAATTAATGGCATTGGAATGGCTCGAAATTAAAATAATCATATAGCCTTTTCTGAACTCAATCCAAGGCAAATCCTCATACAATCCTTCAGAATGGGTTGAAAGTATGTATATATAAATATATATATATATATATATATATATATATATATATAACTCACCCTTCCTCCTAAACTCGACCATGTCTCACACACCATTCCTCCTACCTTCTATGTCAACTTATATAAACTTAATACTGCCCGTTAAAAGTGTAAATTTCATATATATATATATATATATATATATATATATATATAAAATAAAACTCTCTCTTCCCTACCTAAACTCGAACATGTCTCTCACACCATCCCTCGCTACCTTCTCTGTTAACTTATATAAGCTTAATACTGCCCGTCAAAAGTGTAAATTTTAATTTCATTTTTAGTTTCACCTTTTGAAAGTGATGTCTGAAGATCCAGGGAAAAATAAAAGTCTCTGGTGAAATAAATCATTACAATGGAGCCTTAAAGTAGTCTGTTTCTATTTATTTATATATATATATATATATATATATATATATATATATATATATATATATATATATAATGTTCTTAAATACCGTCGTTAGATCGAGGCTTCATATGGATGTTATACGACACTATACTCGTTCAGAAATATCTAGACTGCGTTCTTACATGGTTGACACTAGCTTCGAATGAATGAAGCCTATGGATATTGGCGAAGACCATCGTTCTTCGAAAAAGGCCTTACATAATCATAGAAACTACATCACTAGAGGACTTTCAACAACAGCAACAACTAAAATGTATATCCTATCGAAGAGAAAATAATGATATAATCAAAATGCTGGCTTTCTACGCCTCTTCACACAAAATGTTAGTAAGGAATTTCTCCTTAGTATTTGAAAGAGCAATAACAGTTACCAGATTGAGAAACTTATTTTCTTGACAAATTGTTTAAAAAGAAAATAACACTGGCACCTAAAGAGACGTCTGAAATATTTAATATTACCAAACCTATGCACATGCACACTCGCAGAGACACGGCCATGTGGCATGCCTTTTCTGGATATATCTCAGTTTTAGTTATTTCCCTTTATTAACTCAACTCTCTAAGTTTTGTTCCCCTCTGCTGTGGACAGGTATTGAACTTGCAATTCTTTGGGTCAATCACTTGATAACTTCAACCAACGCTTTTATCCACTGTGTCCTGTATCCTTGGTGAAAAGGCATGACAGGGGAACTAGAAAAATCTACCACGCTGGTCGAAGTAAAGGATTCAGTTCAAAATTCCAAGCTATATCACCGTAAGACGGCCGGAGCGTACAACGGCCGAAACGTCGTGAATATGACAATAAAGGTGAAGACAACAGTCCGAACAATGTAAATAGTATAAATAAAATTCGTCTGCTATTATTTTGTTTATTTGTTATATGTTTATCTATATAATCGATCTCCATTCTATCCCTTACTACTATGTCCTTGTACCAGACTAAATGAAGAATAAACTGGTGTACTGATTTTCCCTTTACCAAATTTTCCATAAATTCTTTTCAATGTGAGATCTTTATGACTACCATAATAAATTTAATATCTCCAGAGAACTAAGTGTAATTAGAGTTCTTTTTTGATTTGTGACAAAGAGTTTCTAGAATCAATTCATTATTTAATGGTTCTTCTTTGAAATAAAATCTCACTTTATTTTACTGGCCTTCATTCAAACCTGATAAATTGATGAGATGCTTTCTGTAACATCAAGTGAGTCGTACCTTTATCTATATGTCTTTATTTCTGTTAATATTTGGAATATACATTCCGAATTATTTTAATTCTTTTATTTAAAAGCCTTAATAATTTGTAAAAGAATATGAAAGCTAAAACACAAGAAATAAAGAATTTGGAACGTTTAAATCCATTTTGAGAAGCTTTTAAAAAAGCGTAACTCATTACTGAAACCCACAATTATACAAAAATGAGTTCATACCTTTGAGGTATTTTCTTTAAGAATGATGTTAAATGTATATATTTTCCAACCGTTATTCCGTTTTTTATAAATCCATATTTGTATATGATTATATTTATTTTTATATGAACATTTTATTTATATCTCTTTTTTATTTATATATCTATTTTATTTATATATCTACTTTATTTATATATCTCTTCAACAATGTTTTTTTTTAAAACGCAAGTGTAACTAAAAGGGACATACTGCAAAGGAGATTTTTCGAGCGCCGGTTTCTAGAACTAGTTAGAAACATTCTTTTTCTCCTTCTCCTTGTTCTATCATCTGCCGTGTCTCTTTCGAATGTGGGAGATCACGGTTCTCCACGATATCCTATCGTTTGTAGCTCTTAACAATGTTTGTCTTTTTGTTATCTCTTCTAATCCTTTTCGACCAACTATTTACAAAAGCTAGTTGTCCGCTGCTCTCATCTGTTCCTTTTGCCTCAAATATGTCCTGACCGTGTGAAATTCTCCAAACCCTCTTTCCTCATCAAATGCTCTAGTAATAGCAAGTATCTCTTTCAGATTCTAAGTAGATAGGCACTTTTACTTTTCATTTTCCCTTACAGTATCGTTGTTTCTTTACATGGTATTCTCAGCATCCTTCTGATAAACCACATTTTTATTGTTTCAAATCTCTTCTTCATCTGTGAGGAGATAGTCCAGCATTCACTGCTGTACAGGAGGAACTATATTGCATAACGTTTCAGTACTACTTTTCTTCAATTCTAATGAAATTTTTAGAAGGCCACTTTCGCTATCTCAATGCGCCTTCGAATTTCAGTGACACCCTAGCCGTCCTCTTTTAAAATACCTCCTAGACACTTCGATTTTTGTATTTGATTGATTTGTGTCTCTAAAATACAACACCAAACCACAGGATCTACTGCTAGGAAAGATGGCCGGCTCTGACGAACTAGACATTTTACCACCAAAATCTATCTTACACATTTATAAGTCTACCATTCGTCATGGCATTGAATACTGTTTTTCACATTTTTTTATAAAATCTAAAGAAGAATGTGCAATGTTATTGGTCATGACTTGGCATTTCGGCTTCAGTCACTTTCCAACTGCTTTAATGTAGCTTTCCTCTGCCTTTTCTCTAAATACTTTGATGGTAATTTCTCTAATGAGCATTCCTTTTTGCTAACTAATATTTAGGAATTTAATTTGTAGTACTAGGTTGAGAGAAATGTTTCATTATTTTGCAGTTGAAATGGTTAGATGTATCCGTAGGTTCTATGCCACCAACTTCTTCTTTAGGTGCTCTCCTTGCTATCCAGCCAACTGTGATCTTCAAAATTTTAAATGCAATGCCAATCGTTGTCTTTTGATGTACTGCTCTTTTATTGTTCTCTCTCCTTAATAATGCATTTTTGTTCTCATATTCTTTTATACTGGGTTTAAGTGGCTTTATTACCTTCCTTGGGTGGATGATGAAACAAAAAAAACTATTGCGTTTGAAGCAAATATCATAAAAACAAAAATGTAGTTTAGGTGAAGAAGTACATGAAAACTGATTTGTCGATAGAGATTTCCGTTATAAATGTTGGATTTTTGTGCTGTTCTTTTAATGTTATTTCTCATATTCTTTCACACTCAGTATCCACTTGCGTCTTAGTGGCTTTATTGTCTTACTTTGGAGTGAAATTACCAAAATGCATCTGCCTTTATGTTACGTGTCTAATTGATTTATCCCTTTCAATATATTTCCATTTCATATTATATTAATCTTGAAACAATTTGAGAGATTTAAAACAAAACTCGTGTGGAATTAGTTAAAATCGAAGTTAATGTAACAATATGCTTTAATTTATTAAGTAAACGTTCAGGCTCTTAAAACTTTTAATCCCGTTTCGCGCCAATAAAATAGGTTTTGTCTTTTCAAGCAAAATGCTTTTTTTTCTGACGGCGTCTGATTATTGACGGAATATGTCGACTTAAATTGTTCCAAAATGTCTGATATATTTTCCAATCCGTCAGATTTCATTCACCTTTTCTGAAGACATATATCTGACACGCTCACTCACACACACACACATACATACACACAAAAACATAATATATATATATATATATATATATATATAAGATCGACAGATAGCTACATATAACATCGAAAGATTGTCATAGATAGATAGATACGAACATAATGGAATAGAAAGATAGATACAAGATGCGATGGACAAATTGTCGTCTAAATTATGCAAAAGGTAATATACGACTGACATCTCATTTTAACAGATTTAAGTAAAATTACGCAAAAACAACTTGAAATAGTAAAGAGAAGATTTATTGAACAAAATCACCATTGGCTTCAACTACGGCCTCCAGGTGACCTCGGAATCTCCTGCAACTCTTCGGGATTGTCACCGCGTTTAAGGGGGTGAATGTTGCTATAATCTTTGCCTTCAGTTCCTCTTTGGTCACAGGAATTCTGTCGATTTCTCGCTCAACTTAGCCAAACACACAATAATCAAGGGGTTTGCAATCTGGGGAATTAGATAACCAGATGTTAGGAGTAATGTAGTTGCAAAAATTGTCTGACAGCCATGACTGCGTTCTTTAGCTTGTGTGACATGGTGCAGAGTCCTGTTGTCAGTCACAGGATCTTCCAACAGCCACTGTTTTGATCCAGGACGGCACTACCACCTCAAGGCAATTCATGTAGGCCTAAGTGTTGAGTCTGAGGTCTTGTGGGAAGAGAAGAATGGAAGCATAACATTGCCATCGCAAGTGATAACTCAAAACACCTTCGTAATCACCATTAGACTCGTCCAACCCTTTCTGGATCCTCTGCACTCTCCTCAGATTGACACCCAAACACGCTTTAATACTTGTATTGAAGCATCTGGTGCGAATGCCGAGCAGTACAGAATGTTATATCGAAATTTCTGGCGGAGTTAATTGCGTGATGGTGTATTTTTTCTCACGGGCGGTGCTTAATTGACCCCACTGTGAAGTCGATAAAATCAAAAACAATCAACGCGAAATTAAAAATATAAAGTGACGACAACTTACCCATCGCATACGATAGATAGATAGATAGATAGATAGATAGATAGATAGATAGATAGATAGATAGATATGAACAGATGAGATAAATAGATACAAACAGAATGAGATAGATAGATATGAACAGATGAGATAAATAGATACAAACAGATTTAGATGGATGTAAACAAACTATAGATAGATAGATAGATAGATATAAACAAACTGAAGATAGATAGATAGATAGATAGATAGATATAGATAGATATAAACAAACTGACGATAGATAGATGTGAACAAACGATAGATAGATAGATAGATAGATAGATAGATAGATACGAATATAACGAGATGAATAGAAAGATAAATAGATATGTTCGTGTGTGTAGGTGTATGGGTGTGTGTGTGTGTGTGTGTGTGCGCGCGTGCGTGCGTTGCCCATGGTAAAGCATTTTCTCCTTTTCCATTAATAACGATATAATAATCTAATGATGTGTCTAATTCCTGCACGAAAAATTGTACGCTTTGGGCCATATCCACAACTCATATTTTCAGCGACACACACACAAGCGAACGTGCATACGCAGACATACATAAGCACATACTCAACATACATAGAAACCTAAAACAAACACACATGTATATTTCAAAATCGTATAAATATATATATATATATATATATATATATATATATATATATATATATATATATATATTGTGTGTATTTGGGTAGGAAATTAGAACTTTTCTTTCTAAGGTAAACAGTATCAAGTCTGAAAAAAAAGATAAAAAAACTTTCTCTAACAAACAAATACTCTTTTCCTATAAGCCTGATGAATTTTCTCTTAGAAATATTATGAAGAAATATAAAACTCCAGTCGATAAAAAACAAAGAAAATAAAAAATATCTATTATATAAGACTGCTAACATCATTGTCAAAAATAATAAGTCAACTGCAAGATCCAAATTACAGAGAACCAATATTTTTAAGAATTCACATATTATTTAAGGAACTGTGTTCCTGATCAAACCAAATTCATAAATAATTTTACTGGATATACTTCAACATGTTTAACAAGAAGACTCACTTTACATCTCTCTGACCATAGCTCAATTACGTCTCATTTAAATACACATAGACACCTACCAAACTCTATCCAATTATACTCAATTATAATACGAATATGATAGCCTCATTCACATGTAAAAAATAATGAAAGCATTATTAATAAAAGAATAAAAAGCCAACAGCCAATAATATCAACTATGAATACGGTCACAAAGTGCTGACCGTGTTTGGAAAATAAAACATTCTATAACTCTAGATGCATACACAAAAAATCCATACATTCAGTTAAAAGTAAAAATAAAATAGTCACTGATAATCGCTAAAAGTATAGCGGAAATTGCATACACAGAATTTCGACAATTTCTACATAATTTATGTCCAGAAAAGAAAAAAAATTATAAGAACACAAGGAAAATTAAGCTTACATAAGGAGAGGGGAAGATTAGTGAAGATATATATTAATTTTGTACATGATTTTTATATATATACGTGTATGGTGAGTCATATATTTGTGTGATGTGTGTTCATATGTACGCATGTGCATCTATATATGTACACACTTTTTCCTCTCTTTTTTGTTAACAACAGATCTAATCTTTATCAATATTTTTGTACCTTCACTTTTTCTTTTCATTTTATTTTATTTAATACTATTTTAATGTTATATTTTCCCTTTTCCACATTTTCTTCACCTTTCTTTTTCCTCCGTTTTGGCACATCATATTCTAATCATAGTTCCGCCTTCCAACACTTTACCACGTGATTTGCCAATTTTTGCTACAACTTGCTACCCGTAAGACCTCTTCCCCCCTCCCAAACCTATAACTTTCTTTATCAACGTTTACAATATCGCTCCCCAACGACAGACACTAGTAACAATAGACTTGCCTAACACTTTTGCACCGATCAAAATTTTAAATTGAAGTTTATTTTCATAAAACGTTTCTCACATCAAGGAATCAGACAGAGATATGGTTTTTGCTAATAAAACGATTTCTGACGGTTAGTAATAGCCCATTTCTGTTTGTTTCTCGGACCTTTCTCTCCGTGCTCCATTTTTGTCATATGGTTAATAATTAATATTTAATAAATGTTTATCGTATGTTGGTACCCTTTCGTTTGTCCTTGTTTTAATAACCAACCTATCTATTATATATATATATATATATATATATATATATATATATATATATATATATATATATATATATATATGAATTCAAGCGCCCTACCAGGCTGGCATCTCGCTCTCACCCTTTCACTGTTGAAACTATTAAATGTAGCCGTCTCTTCTACTCCAATAGCTTCATATCTCGCACCTGTGGAACACCCTTCCCTATTCTATGTTTCCCTGAGAGCTATAATCTCCAACTATTCAAATGTAATGTCAATCGATATCTCCAGTTGTCCTGATCTATCCACTATCCTTCTCCTCATCTTTTCCTCTATCACTCCTAGCTGATCTTACTCAAAATCTTCTGTAACCCCTTGCAACCTAGTGGCTTCCCGCCTTTCTTGGGATGAAACGCTTAAAAAAAATATGTGGGGGTGGGGGGTATGTATGTGTGTGTTTCATTTTCAAGCGAATTTTTGAAATTTCCCAAATTCGCTTGAAAATGAAAGAGTACTAGGGATTTTAATTTAATTCTGTAATTACATTTGAAGTTTTTGAAACATGGTAATTCCTGTGTAGCAATAGAACCATATTTTTAAATAAGTAAATTTATAATATTTATGATCTGTAGATTTGCATTGAGTACTGTTTAAATAAAAACAATTAATGAGAACACCGAATTATTTATCTTACTGTTCCTTCTCTTTATTCTAATATATATATATATATATATATATATATATATATATATATATATATATATATATATATATTTTGTGTGTGTGTGTGGCACATTACGAAATGGACAAACTCCGACAATTAATTTAATATATTTTAATGTTAATCGTTTTTTTATATAGACAGAAATATTTAAGTAAATGCTCTGTTTATAATAAACAGTATTAACAAACATTTACCGGCGTGAACGTCCGAGAAATTTTCATTTCGTAGTGTGTGTCGCACTTTGTTTACGTTTCGATACGCTTCGAGCAGATAGGGACGTTCGAGGTAAATCATGAAAAGTTTACAGTTTTAAAGCAGTAAAATCGACCTTGATAAGCAGACGATCAGCTGTAGGTAAACAGGTATAGCACGTCAGGCTAATGGCGGTGCCGTGTAGGATACAAGTTCGATTCCTGCGGACGACATATATTTTCTATGAAATTTCTCGGACGTTCAGGCTGCGAACAAACGACTTCTGTCGTCTTACCATCCACCGTTCGCAAATAAAGATACGGACCATCTGCGTTTGTCATCCTTCTTTGCTACTGCCATCTCCTTTGCTTTGTGTCCCCTATTTTAGTTGTACGGTCGATTGGCACTCACACCTCTCGGCCCGCTGCAACAAGTGGTGACCCCGACGTGATTTATGGACACAGGCAAACGGCTAGCAGAGAAGATGGCGGAACACACCGAAACAGAAATCAACACATCAGCCGCCCTGATACAACTACCGCCATACAACTCGATCAACACCAGGAGTTGGTTTATTCAACGAGGCGATATTTTCAGCCCGAAAAGTCACGACAGGACACTAAGTACGCCTCCGTGGTACAAGCCTTGCCAGCATCAATCGTTGAAGAAGTGGAAGACATCCTTCTCAATACTCCGGACCAACTCCATACACCTGCCTCAAAAGCCATCCTCAAACGAACTGGACGTTCGGACGAAGACCTCATCAGAGACTTATTCTCTAATGTGTCTCTCGGCGATAGGACACCATCCCAGCTCCCCCGCCTGATGAAGAGCCGCCTCGGGAACAACACCATGGCAGAACCCATCCTCCGAGGGCTATGGATGGATCGGTTACCACCGAATATAACACAAGTTCTAGCCCTGGTACCAGTAGAGACGCCCCTTGACGTTGTGGCCGACTCAGCCGACAAAATATACTCCCAGGCTCACCAAAAAGTTCACCAGGTTGAGAGCCACGGAAACCACACACAACGCCTCGAAGAGGAGATGACCCAGCTACGCGCAGAGTTGAGAGACCTGAAACTCTCCCTATGCCGGAGGCAGCGAAGCCCAGCACCACGCACGCGAAATCGAAGCCGTACCCGCAGCTCAAGTCCAGGACGGAGAAACAGTGTGGTACCACCAAACCTTCGGTGAGCGAGCCCGCAAGTGCCACCCTCCCTGCAGACGCAATAAGGCCCAGGGAAACGAATAGACCGACAGGCAGCGACGACGATCCCTGTCGGTACTCGCTCACCAGTCGTCTCTTCTACGTGTGGGACCGTAACAATGGCCTCAAATTCCCCTAGTTGACACTGGCGCAGCCATCAGCGTAATACCACCCACCAACAGATCCGCCTTGAAACCCACCCCATTCCAACTTCGAGCGGCAAACGGCTCCACCATAGAAACCTACGGGGACAAGGAACTTACCTTGAACATCAACCTCAGGCGCGACTTCAAGTGGTCATTCACCGTAGCTGACGTCAGAATACCCTTGCTCGGTGCCGACTTCTTGGCACATTACAACCTGGCTGTCCATATGAAGACGAGGACCCTGTCCGACAACACGACATCCATCAAGATCACAGGGATCCCTTCGAGTTTCAACACAACTAGGATCAGCGTGGCAACACAGCACGACCCACGCTACGTAGAAATTCTGCGCCGGTACAAGCACCTCACGCAACCCATCAAACTAACTGATGCAGGCGACCATCAGACCCAACACCATATAGGGACCACCGGACAACCAGCATATTCACGGCCACGACGACTCCCTCCACACAAATTAGCATATGCCAAGAAAGCGTTTGAGGAGATGCTGGCCGACAATATCATCCGACCCTCAGACAGCCCATATGCGTCACCACTGCATCTGGTACCCAAATCCGACGGGGATTTCAGGATCTGCGTGGATTACCGGAAACTCAATGCATCCACAGTACCCGACCGGTATCCTGTTCCAGACATGACCCACGACTTTGCCTCAGGTTTACAGGGGGCCCGCATTTTCTCAAAAATTGACCTGACCAAAGCCTACTACCAAGTTCCAGTTGCTCCGGAGGACATCCCAAAGACAGCAGTCACAACCCCTTTTGGACTGTGTGAATTCCTAAAAATGCCCTTCGGACTGTGCAACGCAGCCCAGACGTTCCAGAGGCTGATGGACGAAGTTCTGCGTGGACTACCATACGTCTACGCAAACATTGATGACATCCTAGTGGCTAGCAGAGACGCTGATCTCCACAAACAACACCTGGAGGAAGTGTTCCGCCGTCTAACACATTACGGCCTCCGAATCAACCCAGACAAGTGCGAATTCGGCGCACAACACATAGACTTCCTCGGACACCACACAGACGCTCAGGGAATCACTCCACTTCCCGATAAGATAAAAGCCATACAGGATTTCCCGATGCCCACATCGATAAAGCAACTGCGACGCTTCTTGGGGATGGTAAATTTTTACCGCAGGTTTATCCCCGGATGCTCAAAACTCCTCACCCCCCCCCCTGACAAATCTTCTCCAGAGAAAAAACAAAGCCATCACCCTGGAGGGCGACCAGGAAAAATCATTCCAAGCAGCAAAAAACTTTTTAGCTAACTTTACGAAGTTAGCACATCTTAAAGATACCCGGACTCAGATATATCTAACAACAGATGCCTCAGACACTGGAGTTGGAGCTGTGGTAGAACAGGAGTTTAACGACCAACGCAAACCCATCGCATTCTTCTCGGCTAAATTATCACCAGCCCAGTCCAGATACAGCACCTTCTCGAAAGAACTTTTGGCTATATACCTCGCCATCAAACACTTCCGACATCTACTGGAAGGCCGGAATTTCACCGTTTTGACCGACCACAAACCCTTAACAACTTCCCTGTCGAACAATTCGGACAAATATACGGCTCGCGAGATCAGGCATCTGGACTATATCTCACAGTTCACGTCTGATATTCGTTATGTCAAAGGAAAAGACAACTCTGTTGCCGATGCCCTATCCAGATTTGATGTCAACACAGTGCAAGACAGCCCACTCAGCCAGGACCTGATAGCAGAGGCCCAAGAATCCGACGCAACCCTCCCTGAAGTCCTAGCCAACACATCCCTGCAACTGAAAGAATTTCCGGCACACTTCAGAAACAAAATATTGTACTGCGATACAAAACTGGATCACTCCAGACCCTACATACCTCCGGCACTCAGAAGGCAAATTTTCAACCACCTACATGGATTGTCACATCCCAGCAAGCGCGCTACGGTCAAACTCATTGCCGATCGTTTTGCGTGGCCCAACATGAATACTGACATCCGTAATTGGGTATCAACGTGCCTTAAGTGCCAGAAATGCAAGGTACACCGGCACACAAAATCCCCGCCAGGCACATTCAGCAACCCTGACGCACGTTTCAGCCACATCCACATCGACATAGTGGGACCTCTCCCAATGTGCCAGAATTATCAGTACCTCCTCACAGTGGTTGACCGTTTCTCCAGGTGGCCAGTAGCAGTACCCATCAGAGATACCTCGGCTAACACGGTAGCAAAGACCATTCTTCAGGAGTGGATCGCAATTTTTGACGTACCCAGCAACATCACCACAGACCGCGGCGCGCAGTTTCAGTCCTCACTCTTTCAGGAATTCACTCAACTGCTCGGCGTCAAACACATCAAGACCACCGCCTACCATCCCTGTGCCAACGGCCTTGTGGAAAGGTTCCACCGAACACTAAAAGGCTTCTCTAACTACAAAACATCCACCAGCAACTGGGTAGACGAGCTACCCCTAATCCTTTTGTCAATCCGCAACACACTCAAAGAAGACTTAGAATGCACTCCAGCCGAAATAGTCTTCGGTACAGCACTCTCTTTACCCGGCCAATATTTCGACGACACCATACCCAACCTAACCACTGCAAGTCCTTTCACTCAGGAACTTCGCCATAAAATGGCCCAACTGAAGTATACACCATCCAGGCAATCATCACCAACTATCCACGTTCCACAACAGCTTCAGGACTGCGAGTTCATTTTTGTCCGAAATGACGCGGTAAAGAAACCACTAACACCAACATACCAGGGTCCATTCAAAGTTTTAAAACGCTCTGAGAAGCACCTCACCATCGATCGAGGAAGCCGGACGGCCACCATCTCTATTGACAGAGTCAAACCAGCTTTTCTGGAAAAATCTCCAAGGGAGACAGAACCCGTCTCAACACACCCAGAACCCTCACCTGCCTCAACAACCACGCAATCGCAACCGTCACAACCGAGGTCAGAGCCAATCCCAGAATCACCCACCACTCCACCTAGGCAGACCCGTCTTGGAAGGAAAGTCACCTTCCCTAAGAAGTACAAGACATATATTTTCTTCTAATTGATAATGATCAATTATCCTGGGAGAGGGCCATGTCGCAGTGTGCCCAAACACCACTCCCACCTTTTCTTAAACAACCCAGGATATGCCTGCCGGTAGAGAAAGGTCACGACCCTTGTGTGCTAAAAATAGCAACGACATCCTTTCAAACTGACAGAAACACACAAAACTCAATTTTCGCCACTAAACAAAAATAAAAGACCTTTAATTTCGAACCGAAATTAATTTAAATACAGTCAACAAACACCGAACACACTTTTGACTATAATTAATACTCCTGCAGTTTCCAGCACTCCTGCAGTCTCCAGCTCACCCAACAGCTTCCAGCGGCCTCCAGCTCACCCCTGCGGCGCTCTACTGATGTCCCGCTACCTATTCCAGCACCCGCTGACGATCTAATCCAGTGCCCACTGACGTCCAGCGCCCGTTAACATCCGGACACCGTTCCCGAACAAACGACCTCTGTCGTCTTACCATCCACCGTTCGCAAATAAAGATACGATTTCCATCGTCTACAACGGACCATCTGCGTTTGTCATCCTTCTTTGCTATTGCCATCTCCTTGCCTTTGTGTCCCCTATTTTAGTTGTACGGTCGACTGGCACTCACACCTCTCGGCCTGCTGCAACATATATATATATATATATATATATATATATATATATATACGGGGAATAAGTTATAGTAGTACCAACAAGTGAAAAGTGTTTTCATAAAAAGAAGAGAGAAACCGAAAACGTTTTTGGTATAATGTGGAGTTTTTAAAAAATATATATTATGCTTTATTTTCCATAATTTTGCTACACGGGTTTCCGGTCTCGGGACCTTCATCAGACAAAGAGTGGATATTTAACATATTGTTAAAAGGAATCAATTTTTCATATCTTTTCCAATGTTAAATATTCACGATATTAGACATTCTCTTTTTGTGTGTTAGTGACCCAAATGTCTTTCTTGAACTGGCAGTAAAATAATTCTGCGTGAAGAGTAATAAAACAATTAAGATTGTTCCAAGAATAGGTGAGGAAAGATATCTATATTCTTATCTTTTAATGACCCCTGTGTGTTCTTAGATCTATCTCCATTTTTTGTGTTTTTGTCAACATACATACGCATACGTATATTCCTTTATATATATATATATATATATACATACATATATATATATATACTGTCTTATTATAAGGAATTAGTATACACATATGTACAAAAAACATACACACACATACATGCCCATACAAATAAACACACAAACACACACTTCCTATGTTGTGTAGGGTTCGCGCGCGGGACTGTGAGCAGTTTATATATATATATATATATATATATATATACCAGTACCTTATGTACATGCACTCCCCTTTCTATACACACATACTGTTTTATTATAAGGAATTAGTATACACATACATACACACACATATACATCCATATATACATACATACACACACATATGTGTATTTACGTATATGCTTTGTATATATATACATATATATATATATATATATATATATATATATTTGTGTGTGTGCACACAGACATACACATACACACACCCGCGCAAACCGTGAATTGTTGATAATAGAATTTGAAGTAACGGGAAACAACACCATGAAGCTGGCGTATAAAGTTTAAACCCATTTAATCGGTGGTTGTTCCTATATTTTCCCTTCGCCAAATCAGATTTGAAAGAAATTCGTGTGGCATTAAAACGATTTCTTTTCGAATACCTACGGTCATTTACAAAAAAAAAATGTTGGTTAAAGATTTTTGTCTTTAACTTTTTGATCGTCATTCTCTCAGTAATCTTCGTCTTGTTCTACATTTGTTTATTGAAATGTCTAGATGAATTCTGATTGGTGTAAAGGATATTCTTATTTGAAATAAAGTTGAATCTTTCCTCATTTAGAATTTAGAAAAGCAAATCAGGCAAAATTGCATGAAAATGATTAGAAAGAAAGAAAGGAAATTATATTAGTGTGAAAAGAAAGAAAGAAAGAAAGAACGAGAGAAAGAAAGAAAGAAAGAAATTGCTAAAAAGCATTAATCATAGAAATAAAGAGAAAAAGAAAAAAGAAAAAAAGAAGGAAAAATGAACTCGAATGAAACACAAATGAGATAAAGAGCGAGAGAGAGAGAGAGAGAATGAAATAAAAGAGTGATAGATTAAACATAAATAATAGAGAGAATGAAAGCTAAAGAAGGAAAGAAATTGATAAACATGCATCAAATAGAAAAAGAAAGGAAGGATATATAACCAATATTATAGAATTATATAACAAAAAAGAATGTCAGAAAGAAAAACAGAATTATTATATGTGTAATAGATAGATAGATAGATAGATAGATAGATAGATAGATAGATAGATAGATAGATGACAGTAATAGATAAAACGTGTCCATAACAATAGTGTTCATTGTCTAATGATAGTCAAGAGTCTTGATTCTTGCTGCTGCCGCTTGAATGATTGTTTCTTTCATTTTTTTTTTTTTTTACCATTCCATTGTGACTTGAAAAAACTGCACATCCACTTGTCTCTCTTCTCTCTACATTGAGTTCCCTTTTCCTTGAGTGTTGACTAGACCTGCTCTTTTTCACGCCTTTCTTCTGCACAAGATTCTTTCTGTTTTGGGGACATTTTTTTTTTTTTTTGCATTTAACATTGGCAACCGGCGTCTTTCTTCTGGTTCAAGTATTTTTCTCGTGTTTCATTCGCTATTTCGATCAAATGGATTCTGACAGCAGACGTCAGAAGTAAACTTGCAAAAAGAATTTTAAAAAAGAATATTTTTCGCTTCGTGTGCAAAGACAATGAACAAAAATTTACATCTATACATTCTCTGATTTACACACTGTTTCCTATTTATTCCTTTCTAATCTTTAATTACTTCACATAAATTAATGAAAATAAAATCATAAAAACGAAATTTGATTGAATTATGGGACTCTCGGGGTGAAATGTTTTCAATATTAATTTTTCAATCGCATTTCTTTATCTCAACTTTAGAAATTGCAAATTATTCGAACACAGAATAAAATAACTTAAATAATCAGAATAAAGAAATACAGTTTATCCTGAATGCGGATGTAAATACAGACCCCACATCAAAGTACAATTATCACCTTAATGTACCATCTCTGTCTTAAACTATGATCCTTATAAGGAGTTTAAAGGATTTTTTTTTTTTTAAAAAAATTACGGAAATCTTATTTTTTTATGTTTGCGGCAACATTTAATTTATAAAGACACACAACAAATACAGACGATACGAGCCGACTTAAAAAGAAAACAAAAATAAAAAAACAGACGATAAATGTATTGTTAACACATAGAAATGAAAGAATTATATAAATTAAAATCTTTGTGTGCCAAATGATGGCCAATAATATGTATGCAAAAATAATCAATGCAAATGAAATATGCTTTTTTTTCCTTACAAAAATATACAATGCTGTATAAGGCCCATCAGAAAAGGTAAACAACACTAAAATAAAATGAAGGAAGGAGAAAATACTTCTTTGAATAGTTTTCAAAGAATAAGTACTATTTTCGAAACAAAGTTCATAGTAACAGTGAAGAATAGAACAATCACAGTAGCCGAAGAATTTTCCTTCAATCCAAGGCCCCCTATTTATTCGTTCAGGGAGGTGCCAACTTCACTTCTCGGAACTTGGAAGGAAACCTTTTGATTGGTTCCGAATGAAAAACAAACACAGCAATTTTCCCACAAATCAAAATATACCAAAAATATTTTCGAAATTTTAAAGTTTAAGCAAAAGCCCAACGTAGCCGCTGCGTTCTCCCAGAAAAGCCCACGCAGCTTCAATTTCTTATAAAATTTTGTTGACATATAATGACTTTTTGAAATTGTCTGAAGACTTTGTGGATGTTCTGTATATTAAAATTTCTCCACGTGTTAGGTTTGTCTTTTTTTTTTAAACTTCCCAAGATAGAGCCGAACGCAGCCTCTTTCTTCTCTCAAAAAAGACGATACAAGCTCAAGCAGCTTACATTTCTTATGTTTTCTCACCGGTTTTAGTTCACTTTGACAGCGAGTCTATCCCGAATGATCTTCAGATCCCACTAATATTTATAATGATCTCATCAATATAAGATACGCCGGTGACACTGTACGGATGGCAGATAAAGAATGAAAATCTCAGCACCTTCTAGAGAAGTTAATAAAAACAATCGAAAAGAAACGTCTAACTATCAATTGGTAAAAGACAGAATTTTTTGTTGTCAGGAAGATGAAAATCTCAAGATTCGGGATATGAATTGGAAATATCAAAATCAAGCAATAACGAGAAATTAAATATCTGGTAAATATGTTAACAAATGATGCAAAATGGTACACTGAAATCCGAAGATACATTCACATAGCGATAGACGCTTTACAAAAACAAAACAAAGACGCGATTAGTTTTGTGAAAAACAAATGAGTGCTGAACGGTAAAGCAATATCAACTCTTATAGATGAAGAAAACCTGAATCAAAAGATATCGTTGTACAGACGCATGATGAGAATACCATGAACGAGAAAGATTTCAGGACAATAGGAAAAAATAGATTGCCGAGATCCCTAAAAGAAAAAAAGTATTTCAGTGTCAAATTTTCCATGGTTTGTTAAAGCATATCCCAGGAAATATTTTCTAGTTTCAAAGGGGATCCCTCAACTTTCCTTTCTTTCTCAGGATATTTTGCCCAATGTGTTCTCTCACTTTCATAGTTTTATCTGATTTCTTTGTCATTATTTCTTAAATTACGTGCACGAGAATTCCATCTTTATGTAGCTCAAATTCACCCTCATTGGCGCTTAGACATATAAAATAAATCCATACCCATTTTCGCTATAACCAACATTCACTGGATACAAGATCCAGTTGAGGAAGGTCGAAGAACGTATCGTAATAAAAACATAACGTACAGAACAGTCTGCAAAAGGTGACCCATTCTGTCCAAGAGACATTCTAAGAATTTATTTCGTTAACCAATACTAATCCAAAGAACACGTGCAAAAAAGGAAAAGTTTTTTTTCAGTTTTAATGCTACAACACATACAAACACCAATGTATGTACTTAGACGCCATTATATTGTCTGACACAAAGCCAGCAGTTTGAAACAGTACCTCATATCTTGAAGGCTAAAGTAACTATTTTTCAATGCGAGATTTATATAATAGATAGATAAATAGATAGATAGATAGATAGATAGATAGATATTAACAGACCGAGATAGATAGATAGATAGATAGATAGATAGATAGATAGATAGATAGATAGATAGATAGATAGATAGATATTTCTCTTTATTTTGTCTGGTTGAAGACAATTGTCCGAACGGAACTCATTATGCATGGATAAAAATAATGATATAAATTGCTCTAGAATAAAAATACTGAGCGAATATTTGTTACACTTTCTGGGA